CAACCACCCGTACCTATTCGAAGGCGCCGAGCCTGGTCCGCCATACACTACCGATGAACATCTCGTCACCAACGCTGCGAAGATGGTCATGCTGGACAAGCTGCTGAAACGTATGAAGGCTCAGGGCAGTCGAGTGCTCATCTTCTCGCAGATGAGTCGTGTGCTAGACATCATGGAAGACTACTCAGTCATGCGCGATTACAAGTACTGCCGCATTGACGGTTCGACCGCCCACGAGGACCGTATCCAGGCTATCGACGACTACAATAAGGAGGGGTCGGAGAAGTTCCTGTTCCTCCTGACTACCCGTGCTGGTGGACTGGGTATCAACTTGACGTCTGCTGATATCGTCGTCCTCTTCGACAGTGACTGGAACCCGCAGGCCGATCTGCAAGCCATGGACCGTGCCCATCGTATCGGTCAGACCAAGCAGGTCTACGTCTTCCGATTCGTCACCGAGATGGCCATTGAAGAGAAAGTGCTTGAACGTGCGGCCCAGAAGCTGCGTCTCGACCAGCTCGTCATTCAGCAAGGCCGCTCGCAACAACCCGTCAAGAACGCCGCATCCAAGGACGAGCTCCTGACCATGATTCAGCACGGCGCCGAGAAGGTGTTTGCAAGCAAGGGCCCCGTCGGTCCAGCAGCTGACGGCGAGCTTGCTGATGACGACTTCGAGGCTGTCATGCGTCGCGGTGAAGAGATGACGGAGAAGCTCAACAAGAGGTACGAGACGCTCGGTCTTGACGATCTCCAAAAGTTCACCTCGGACTCAACCTACGAGTGGAATGGCGAGACATTTCAACCACGCAAGAAGGAAATTGGCATCTCCTGGATCAACCCCTCGAAGCGTGAGCGCAAGGAACAAAACTACGGCATCGACTCCTACTACCGCAAGACGCTGGTCACTGGCGGGCGAACCGAGAATAAGCAACCCAGGATACCCCGTGCGCCCAAGCAGATCACCATCCACGACTACCAGTTCTTCCCCAAGCGACTCTCCGAGCTCCAAGACAAGGAGACCGCATGGTACCGCAAGGAGAACAACCTCAAAGCTCCTCTCCCAGAAGGTCCAGATGAGGATCTCGAGGCCCGTGAGGCCGATCAACAACTTGCGCAGCAGGAGATTGATGATGCGGAGCCACTGACAGAAGAGGAGAAGGCTGAGAAAGAACGCCTGATCGAAGAGGGCTTCCCTGAATGGAACAAGCGTGACTTCCAACAGTTCCTCAACGGCAGCGCCAAGTACGGTCGCCAAAACTACGAGGGCATCTCGGAAGAAGTCGACGGAAAAGACGCCGACGAGATCAAAGCTTACGCCAAGGTCTTTTGGAAGAAGTATAAGTCGCTGGACAACTGGCAAAAGCATTTGGGTGTCATCGAAGAGGGCGAGCTCCGTGTGCGACAGTCGGAAGAGAAGAAGCGACTCATCGCGAAGAAGATTGGCATGTACCGCATGCCCCTCCAGCAGATGCAGATCAAGTACACCGTATCCACCACCAACAAGAAGGTGTACACCGAGGAAGAAGACAAGTTCCTCGTCGTCATGCTGCACAAGCACGGCGTCGAAGGCGAGTACATCTACGAGAAGATCCGCGACGAGATCCGCGAATCGCCCCTCTTCCGCTTCGACTGGTTCTTCCTCTCCCGCACACCGCAGGAGATTGGCCGTCGCTGCACCACGCTCATCTCGGCTATCGTGCGCGAGCTCGGCGAGGGCGATCTCAAGAACAAGAATGGCAAGCGCGGGTACGAGGAAGAGGAGACGGAGGAGGAGGAAGAGGAGCAGCCGAAGAAGAAGTCTAAGAATGGTGTCAAGGTATGTTATGTTGAGCTTAGACTTGGGGATGTTGGCGTCTACTAACAGATGGCAGAACAAGCAGCTCGATACTGTCAAGGGCAAGGCCGGATCGGCTTCGGCGACCCCATCGCGTGCAAGCAGCGTTGCGACAAATGGCTCGGCGACTAAGGGTTCGGCGACCAAGGGCAAGGGAAAAGGCAAGAAGAAGTAGTGTTTCTGATGCGTCAGCGTATGAGGGTAGCATGTTGTGGTGTTTTGGCGTTATAAAGACGGGTCAGCGTGTCTTAGCGCACTGTACTCGATGGGGGTATGTTGAGCTTTGATCCGTCCATGACGGTATGGGTGGGTGTTTGCGTGTTGCATCTGTAATTGTAGAAGATGAATAGAGGTGTTCATATACTATTTTGTAAGTTCATACCGTGTCGTCGAATTCGTGACCATGCATCTTCTTCGCCAGGTCGTGAGGTATCAGTCTCGTCACCAATCACCCATCCTCAGCGTAAGCGTGTCAAAGGTGCAATATATACATTAAAGAAGACACTCATAAACATCGTAGACTGGCTCATCAAGCCTTAATCTCAATCCCCTGCTGCCCCTCACACGCGCTAATCTCGCCAAAATACCACAAATGCGCGTCAACATCAACGCCAAAGTCACCCTCGTTACCCTTCAAGTTCAGGTTTCCAGTCAGCATGTTGATGTCTGCCGCCGTTGGCTGAACGTCATTGCCGCTGGTGACATAATATTCCGGGCTGATATGGCGGTATCCGAGTAGGGCAGGCGGCAACTTAGGCACCGGATCGTTCTTGTGCGTAACCCGATACGTCTCGCCCATGCCCGTTTTAGTAATATAGTCGCTCACGCCCGCCAGACCGATCTTAGGCGCGCCGTATGTGTATAAATCGACGGTCGTGCCTGTTGATCGTAGATAGCCTGCGGCGAGACTCGCGAGTGCGCCGCCGAGGGAATGGCCAGTTGCTACGATGCGGTAAGAAGGATACTGATTTCTTGCTGTGGCCAGCGCCGCTAGTACTGGTTTCTGTGCTTCGAGCCAGGAGTTCCAGAAGCCGGTTGATGCGTTACATGTTGGGCAGATGGTGGTTGGTAGTACTGGAAACGCGACGTTTGTGATCCAGTTGCGGACGCTGCGGGAGCCGCGGAAGGAGATGACGATGAGGTTGTTTGTGGAGTCTGTGGCTACGAAACCCGTTACGTCGGATTTTATGCTGTTTTGGAATTCGGAGAGGGTGTTTGTGGTGGCGGCTTCGATGAGGGGGCAGTTGCCTTGCGGGCAGGTGACTTTTGTGTTGGGGCTGTTGTTGTTGCCGAGGCAGTAGGCGGCGGCGGAGTATTGGGAGTAGAATTCGAGTTGCGAGAGGAGAGTGGAAGATACGGCTGAAGGTATGTTAGTGAGAGTGCTGGTGAAGATGGGATTGGGGGGAGTGGATGTACCTCTGCCTTCGATTTCGACGGGAGCTGCGGTGACAGAGTGAACTGCACCGAGCAGTAGGGCTCCTAGACGGAGGACAGAAGGTGCCATGTTGATTGACGGGTGTGTCGAAACGGTCAGGTCAACGTCAATATACAACAAAGAATATACCGACGACAAGACAAATAACCCGATATAAGCACAAGGTGAGAGAATCCACCGCACACAGCCTGACAAACCTACACTCGCGTGAAACACACCAGACTATATACTTACCCACGCCATCTTTACTAACCTCCACACACCAGGTCCTTCCAAGCCCTGTCGCTGAGTATTCCCGGCGGTCAAAGTAAACGGACCAGGTAGTGGGACCATCCTGGTGATCGGCACTCACACCAAAGCTACGGGTACCGGGGTGAGATGACGCTTGTTCTGGCGCTTGTCCAGGGGATGTCTGTGCCCAACGTGGCTATCCTAAGATTAGACATTTCGCCGCTGGGCTGGATGTACGCCACGGAAACCTCGATGGTGGAATGCGGTTGTTGGAGATGCCGGATGTGCTCAGCCTCGAGATCGGCGTCGCATAAAGAGAGAGACCGCGACGAGACATCCACCGCCACCTTTCGCAGTTCGTCGGCTTTATCGGTAGAAATGCGTTTGTTGTCGGTCGAACTACACGTTTTGACTGACCCACCTACTTCATTCGTACGTTTGGTGCGTCGCCTTCCTTTCCAAACCGATTAGTCGACGTTCTTCGGCGCTTTTGTGTGCACGCGACGAAACGAACGCATGATCCCGCACACTACCGCATGCAGCATGCATGAAAGAAGGCGTTTACCGGCATTCAGCCACAAGTAACAGCTTGGTGTGACAGCCAATGAATGTAAATACCGAGGTATAATAGCCTGACATCAGCGATAGACCGTCAGGTATTGGAAAGGGAGATGCTTTCTTCTGGTCATGTATGGAGAGGGCATCGTTTTTGCTTGTTGCACTGCGCTCAGCTGTCAGCGCGTTCTAAGCATGTGCGACTGCGGTGCTTGTATAAGCCGGCATGCGCGGAACTTGCTTGCACGCGACAAACGGGTATTTGTCGTGATGGAGGTGTAGTGCTCATTTGGTGGTGCTGGATGTTGCGGGGTAAGAGCATGACGTAGGCAATTTAGAAGCGCCTCGTGGCTTTCGCTAACGTGGACAGGAAGGTACCTCAACAACAACATCACGGAGCAGACCAAAAGCTGTTTGTACCCCGAACTCATGTGGTGGTGTAGAAGCAAGAAACGTCGGTGTCAGCGCCCTTCTGGGCTAGTGCACGGTACTTATGCGGGGTGCGCAACAGTCCCGATAATTGTGTTTGGTGGGCTGAATGCACCCCAGGCACTGGCGTTCCTGGTTCAGCGGCTAACGTATATCTCCGAATCCTCCCAGTCGCGTGCTGCATTTCAAGTCAGCTGTCCACGGGCATGTACGCATATGGAGAACGAGGCTTTCAAATTTTTTCCTGCTTTGGCAGAATCTTTCATTTCCACCGGCTGCGATAGATCGGGGCTAGTCGCTAAAGGTACAGAACTCCGTGCTGCTTGAGTCGTGATGTGTGGGGAAGAAAGCGAAATACGCGAAATCGCAGAACCACATGGTATCGCAAGATGTACAAGGGTGAGACGGCGAGAAATCGGCAAAAGAGAAATGTACCGTGAGGCCCAAAGCGGTACCAAAGGGGTTGAGGCTCTCAAATCTAGGCTACTTGTTACCGCGTTTGAGAACGGCACGGGCCTACTGCGGTGGGACGAAGGGTTTGACGAGCATTTCACTGAATCTGGAATCGCTGTTAGTACACTGCATCCTGAGTCGGTGTGCAATACCCACTTCTCGAGCTTCTCCTTGCCGCGCACCTCCTCAACCAGCAGCGGCATCTTGACCACGTTGAACTCGTCGTAGAGCTCTTCAATCTGATCGAGGTACTTCTTCTGCATCTTCCGTCGCGCATTGCACTGCTCGCAGGGGTTATCCTCCTTGGGGAAGAGCAGCTGGTTGACGACAATGGAGTGCGTGTCGATTTCGTAGCTGTTGAGTTCCTGGATCATCCTTTCCGTCTCGTACAGACTCAGGAACTCGGGAATGCAGACACACACAAAGGTGGTGAGGTCGGCGTCCTTGAACTGGCCATTGACTTCTCCGATTGTCTCGCGCAGGTTCTCCATCTTCTCAACCAGCTCGTCCATATTTTGTCCGTTGGGTAGTCTGCCAGACGCACCAAGGAAAGAGTTGAGCATGGGCCCGAATTGGCGCGAGAGCTGCGAAACTTTGGAGAGGGCCTTCTCCATAACGGTGGGAAATTGAAGGAAGCGTAGCGTGTGGCCCGTGGGCGCCGTGTCGAAGATGATGACTTCGTAGGACATGGACTTGACTTGCTTGAGCACTTCGGCGAACGACATGGCTTCGTCCACACCGGGAATGCTAAAGGCCAGATCTTGCATCATGCTGCCCATACCGCCGAGGCCCGCCATGGGGTCTTGGCCCTCCTCCGCTCCGCTCGCCAGCAAGTCTTGTATACTGCCGTTGGGGTCGATTTCCATGGCGCTGAGGTTATCGAAGCCGTTGACGAGGCGCGCGTCCTTTCCGAACTTCTGGTTGAAGGCATCCGAGAGGTTGTGGGCGGGGTCGGTCGAGATGAGGAGGACCGACTTGCGGTGCTTTGCGAGCTGGATGGCGAGGGAGCAGGAGGTTGTCGTCTTTCCTACACCACCCTTGCCGCCAACGAATATCCACCGCAGCGTCTTCTGGTCGAGGATGGACTGGAGCGTGGGCGCCATGTCGGCGTCGATGAGCGCGGTCGAGGTCATGTCTGGTGATCGGGGTATTGCAGTATATAGAGGGGTAGTGTGTCGCTGTAGGAGGAAGTGTCAGTGTTATACTGTGCAGCCAAAACATAGTGCCTGTTTCCCGAAGCTTCGGAGGGGCAATGCAACCCTGGAAGCGCCTACCTTTCGATTTCACTTAGACCTCCAGTAATTCTTTCGGGTAGCTCAATCCGATTATGTGTGGGTGAGATGTGATATGTGTACGGTGAGGGAAGGTGTGGTATGTTTGCGTGATTGCAGATTAAACAACCTTGGAAGTCGCGCAGGAAAGTTGACTGGGTGGGAATGCAGGCAGGCGCGTCATGCGCTAGTGCGCCACAGCACAGCCACGTGTGGCGCTCACCCCGCTCATCTCTCACTCATGTTCCTCACAACCCACGACTTGACATAAACATCAGATGTGCTTCAATCTGGACTTGATCATCACCACGTATCATGGTCTCTCGTTTACGAATACCATCACTCGGAATGTCCAGCATCTCCCCGTCGCACCCTGATCTTCATCAGAACGCCTCGAGCTACAAAGAAAAGACTATTCTGGTCGTCTAGCTCATACGTAGACTCACCCTCTAGTCCTTCCGCGTCGATTATCGGCGCTGCTAAATGCTCATACCGTCGTCCTGATTCACGCTCTACCACCCATTCTAGATCGTATTCAACGTCTTTTGGGGTACCGTCGGTGTCCATCTGCGCTTCTTCGATAGGATACTCGATCTGCGTCTCTAGAGACCCTGTAGAGAAGAATGGCGACGTGTTGCCAGCTGCGATGATGCACGATAACGGTTGGCCTGGAACAAGCGCCACGACGTCGCCGTTGTCGTGTCCGAGTGGCATAGCCCGACAGCTGTGAGAGTAACCCGGGACTACTTCTGTAGCAGTGTCATTCACCGGTAAACTCTCCGCGTTCGCCTCTTGCTCCATTTTGACGCAGGTGTCGTTCGTCGCACACCCTGCAATCTGCACCTCTTCTACTGGCGCTTTGACTGTCGAAATACTCGACGTTTCCGAAGAATCCCCTTGAACGGCGTCGTCATGTGATAGGGGTTGCACAGCCTCTATGTCCCTCTTTGTTGCTCTTGATAGCAACGAACTGCGCAGCGTTGAAGTCGAGGCGGCGAGAGTGAGCAGCGTGCTTTCATTGGGATCCGGGTATACAGTCTTGCGCCGCTTCGAAACAATGCTGTAAAGGCTTTCTCTAAGCTGGTGGTCCAACACGGCATTGAACCTGATCTCCGTGGCCTTGAGAGCTGAACACAGCGGCAATCGCCATCCAGGATACAATCGGCCGTGGTATCTAGGCATGTGCATCTTCCCGTGCGCGGTTATGAACGCGTTACAGAGATAACAAGCGTCCTTGCTCGAACATATCACTCGAGGTGTTGGACGCAAGTCGTTGACTTCGCAGTAGTAGAGAAGCTGAATTTCAGCGTGTATCTTCGCCTCCGTCATTGTCTTCTTCATCTGAGCCGCAATAGTCTCGTTTGCTTGCAACTCCGTAGTGTTTAGCAGGTTGCAAATGTAGTTGATTTGAGACTTCTGGTACACAGGATCGATTGTCTTAAGCCTGGTTGCAATATTTGGGGTATTGAAGCTTGTTGGGACGAGATCAAAGAAGGTTCCAGGTAGATCGGCAGGTACGGCCTTCATGCGCTGAACTATTGGATACTTCTTCGCTGTTCGGTGCAGGAAATGAGCGGCTTCACGGTACCTCGCGACTTTGCTAATGATGTTGACCAGGTTGCTTCTTGAGCTTGGGACCATCATACTGTTTGGTATGATGGCTAGCAAAGGCCCAATGTCTACCGCTGTTCGTAAGTTGTGGATTCCATGAACGAGTTCGCTCAGCTCATGAGTTGTTTGGTGCTTGTTCCATAAACCGACTAGCCGTATCACGTGCTTTGCCTTCTCTGTGAACAGCATCGCGTCGTGGAAAAGGGCACCAAGTTTTCCCTTCCCGAGTTGGTTAAGACTGTGTATTGCAGTTTGCAAAACTTCCGTTAAGGGTTGTTTCGGTTTCTTCCAAGCATTAGAAATGAATCTAAGACGACAGAGAATACGGCGCGAGCACATCGTGACGATCGCCATAAAGATCTCATGTTCGATGTCAAGAGAACGGTCTCCTGCTCAGTTTGATCAGTCTTGAATAGGGAAAGTAATGTTATCACGTACGATTCGTCACCCGCGAAAGGATGGCAAAGATGCTCTCAAGATTCTGCTCTAACTCCCGTAGTACTACGTTGCCACCTTGCGCGTTACGTTTGTTCACTGCTATTAGAACGCTTATCGATGCCGCTGCCGTGTTCTGCTGAATGCAAACAGCAGGAACGCGATCTGGGTCATCTTTCGTACACGAGAGAAAGGCAAGTGTGCTAGTCAATTCTCGCTCCTTCTTGAAAGGTAGTAGGTAGCCCTGCCCCGAGAGTGTAACAGTGTATTGATTCGAAGATGGCGGCGTAGGAACGGAATGTAGAAGATGAAGAAGAGCGATGCTTTCCGCGCGAGCAATGGCGAGGTGAGGGGTTTTAGCTGATGACATTAGGTCCGATGTGACATCTCGGCAGCTCACTATCCCTGAGCAAGGCGTCGTACATTTTGGATGACAGCCTAATTGCCTTATCTTGAAGTACGTAGCTTTGTGTAACCTTTCAACCCTTGCTTGGAGCGGGGTCGTGACCGAGTGGGAAGGTACAGCCGTCTGCCCAATGGAAGTCCAGCTTCAGTGTCTAGATAGAGATTGGCGATGATACATCCTCTCGCAGTACACCGTGTGCACTCATTTGCCGATGGTCAGTCGCATCGCAGACCAAGCATCCTGCTCATCTCGCTTCAACGGAATGGGAGCGAAACGTTATCCGGTACTGCAATCGAGGGAAGACAACCTTTAATGTTTGGTTGTTCGGACAGGATTGCGACGCAACGAGATGGCAAGTGAAGATGCAACTTGTCCAGATGTATGTGAGGAACGCGGTGAAGGAGCGCATGTACTCCACTTCCGATACATCCGCACCGTCCTCGCTAAGACGGAGCACCGAACAGTATTATTTGAGAGCGCACAAATTGAGAGATGGCTTCCTACGGTAAGGAAATGCAGCGTCCAGATTGAAATAGCGTGTCGTCGTTCGGGAGTCCGAGTCGGAGTACCCAAACCACCCTAGCTAGCCAATCACAGCACGGGGAAACCGCTGACGGGCCTCCCGAGATCCGCCCGCCCCACGCGAGCTAGTCGCGTGTTTGTCCACCCCCTCGCGGCACGCCTCTCTGAGTCCCGGAGTCAATGACGACACAGCATAAGCCGAAGATGTTTGCGCGTTTGCACGGGGCACGAGGCGTCCGGCTCTCCGCTGCAGTTGCGGCGCACACAGTCCATCTTCCTGCGTCGTGAAATATACCTTCATCCATCTGCTCATCGCCCAGTAAAATCATACGCAATTGCAATTCGCTATCTCCAAACATCACGATGAGCCACCCGACACACCCAGCGACAGTGCACTTCCCCATCACTACCACCTTCCTCACAGGTGCTCTGGATGCCGTGTACTTCCTCTCCAAGTATGCGCCAACCTCAGGCGCCGTGGCCTCGACCTGTAAGCCTTCCACCTTTACCCTCCCAATCCAGTCAGATACATCTATCTAACACACCCTCAGTCAAAACCCTAGACATCGCCATCAACCCCTCCATCTTCCCCCTCCTCTCCTACTACACCACGCTCCTCACGCTCCTCTTCTCCGCCCCGGCGGTCGCAACCGGCATGTACGAGTTCATTCCGCTTGTCAAGCGCGACGGCTTGAAGTCGAGGAAGGCTCAGGTCGGCGCGCTACACGCTGTCATTAATGATGTGACGGTGCTGGGTGCGGCGTTCAACTGGTGGACTAGGAGGAGCAACCCCGGCATGGTGCCGAGCGATACCAATATCTTGATTAGCAGTGTCATTGCGCTGCCGGCGACGATGTTTGCGGCGTACTTGGGTGGGAGCTTGGTGTATGTTTATGGTATGGGGTTCAGGGGTGGGCAGGCGAAGGCGAAGAAGGCACAGTAAGAAGGGGCTGTGAAGATTGTATGACAATGTCGCCACGAGCTCAGGGACGGTGTCGGACAATTCATCGGAATACGGAGTCATATCACGCGTCGTCGACCAGCTGCACTGTGTGGAACACTCACGTAATGCAAGACCTTCGCTGTTGAAATTCATTCGCCATCATTGGACGGGGGGATTTAGGCATCGCCGTGTCGTTTGTATTGCGGGAGTCGTGGGTACTCAACGCAAGAGACGATCCTAGCATCATCCCATTACTACCTATCTGTTTCCATGTTCGTACAAATGCACCAGTGTTGGTTGAGCTTGTTCTTTAAAGAGACTGAGGTTGGAGCGGGAATGATCTGGTCCATTGGCTGGTCCCATCAGCCTTGTGTAAGCCACCCACTTCATGTCTCAGTGGCAGCCTGAACCCCGCTACTTGGCAGTCTCATCTTGTCTGCAGCCTGTCCTTGATTCCACCGACGCTCACCTGGAAGAGGACGCAGTAGACTTCACGACCATGACAGGCAATGTGATGACACGCCTCCCCTGCAGCGGCTTCGCCGACTTCCTCTACTCGAATCGAATACCCAAAGACCCAGCCTCTGCGTTGTTCGAACTGCGGACGACTAGTAGTAATGTAGCCAGGGGTGCTGCCGCGGGTTGCAAGGGATGTGCGCTCATACACGATGCTGTCACAACTTTCAGACAGGATCGACTGCCAATGGATGAATGTTTTATTGCATTATCGACTCAGAATAAACTGTTCGATTCCTCCTGTCTGAAGATCGTGTTGTACATTCATCCGGTCCGTGAAAGAGCAAAAGAGGAAGGCGCACGTAGCACAAAAGAGCCAGTTCTGGCGTCCTATGCCGACGAGGATTGTGTACGCAAGTATTTAGAAGAGTGGCTCGAAGTGCGGCTGGATTGGTCGCGGGGTAAGTGATCTGCCTACTTGCCACAATGTTATGCCAACATTGTAGCATAGACTGACTAGTGGATATCAGACGCTTTTAGTCCTAGCGAGGGTCTATCACTCAAACCACTACCAGTTTCCCGTCCACATTCGCATCTTCCTGATTGCACTTCTTCCAGCGAAACATCTCGGAGGTTAAACCAATGGCTCGTCGCGTGCGCGGAAACGCACCCAGCATGTCAAATCTCCTTGGAGACGGCGCTGCCAAAACGAGTGCTCGAGATAGAAAATTCACGTATCTTTCTTCGAGAGGACACACGGAAGAAAGGTAAGTATGCATGTCTCAGCCACTGCTGGGGCGCACAGGGCCTGTCGTTTAAGCTTGAACAATCTACTCACCAGCAACTTGCTGGCGGAGTCGCAGTGGATCAATTACCGAAAACGTTTCAAGATGCTGTATCTGTCTGTATCAGCATAGGTGTTCGGTTCCTCTGGATTGATGCTCTATATCAGTAAATGTTCTCACCGTTCATGGCACATTACTGAACTTTCAGAAGGTATCAAGCAAGATGATGCGGACGACTGGGCGGAGGCGGCGGCGACTATGGGAGATATCTACGAAGCGTCATGGATCACTGTCGCAGCGACTTGGTCAAACAGCAGCCAAAGAGGAATATACTCGACCGTTTCTGACCGGTTCAAAGCCAGAGCTTTGGAAGATCACGATTTCGAAGTACGAGAAGCCCTACCGGGGCTCGCTGATGGGCTTCCAAAAGTCCAAGAACAAGATCATTGGCCACTCCTGCGCAGGGCTTGGGTATACCAAGAGCAACAGCTATCGCCGCGCGTGGTTCACTTCGGTGAACATCAGATCTTCTGGGCATGCAACTCTTCGTTCCAGTCACAAGACGGGTGGTTTCACTCAAGATGGAAACTTGGTCAAAAAAACAGCCTTTTAGACTGGAACAGTATTGTGACTGAATATTCAGAATTGCAGCTTACATACGAGAGCGACCGCCTACCAGCTATTGCTGCTATAGTCCTGCGCGTTATGCAGATCCGGCAACACGATACCTACATCGCAGGGATGTGGAAGGACACACTTATCCCAGATCTACTCTGGTATGTTACCGCCCTGCAGACTAGACCTCGTTGTACAGATCGCATACCAACATGGTCTTGGGCCTGCGCGTCTGGACGTGTACTGCATGATATAGGGGTACGTGGCTTTGTGCAGGTTGTGCAGGTAGTGGATGTAACCTTCACACCGACAGGAGCGCCTCACATGGGGCAAGTCGAAGCTGCACATTTAACCCTGCAAGGACCCGCTTGCCACATGCCAGATTCAGGATATCCCGTCTTGCGCGAGAGAAATTCTGCCTCCAACTCTGGTGATTTTGCTTTCACGTCGGATATTAGATGCGATCTCGCGATGGATTTCGATTGCCAAGCTGCCAAGCCTCTTGTAGGGTCAGACCGCAGCCTAATAGTCTTGTTTCTATGCGATTAAATTGGCGACTTCGCAAGCGTAGGGCAAGAGTACGCTGGAATAATCCTACAAGCAGTCGCAAACAACGCTTTCCAACGGGTCGGGTTTCTCACTATCTCCCCAGATCGCGACAAGTACATATGTGATTCGTCCGAGGAAGATAGCGACAAGGGAAACAGTGACGAGGGTGCCGAAGACGCCGAAGACGATGATACAGAAGAGAAAGATGATAAGAACATGGCTCACAAAAGAGCTGTCTACTTTTCTGCAAGTAGACCTCACATCGGGGCCGAAAGAGTTGAGATCGATGACATCGAAGATGGAACAAGCGCAAGTGATAGCGATGATGATACAGTATCTTCTTTTGTCCATGCGTTACCGCTGCAAACTTTCAGAATCATCTGACACCGTCGTTCACATCTGAGGGGAATATCTGCCGGGAACGTCAATGTCGCAACTCGTAACAGTTTATTACAATCCGAATTCCAATATGGCTTGAGTGCCAGTACCTTGCTTGCATCGGTGAACCATCCCCTCCCCTTCACCTCTCAACGTCTGCTCCACCAAGAAGCTCATCTGAACGTCGCTCAACAGTTGGCAGCGCTGCAGCTCAAGCAAGTCGCTCAAGTGGCAGTGAAAGCACATGATCACATCGTCGAGCGGTGCCTGCTGCTTACCTGGCGCGCTCACGCCATAACCATTCTTCGTCGTGAACCCAGTACCCTTGCGCAATACTGAAGGCGTGCGCAACTCCGGCAACAGTATGACCGCAAAGCCGGATATCAGCCATTTCCCGCTGGCATCGAGACTCAGGATGAACGCGTTGTTTACGTCCGTAACACCAGAGAACATGCAGATGCGGTCGCCAGATCCTATCTCGTATGATCCTGGGCCTCCTCCGCAAGCAAATCCAGTAATGCCATTGGTACCTACGAAGGATGTGTACCGTGCGTGTCGTTGGTCGGTGTTTCGCCGAGCCAGTTTACTTCTAGCAGCCATGTATAGTGCCGCAGCGTCGTCCGTCATGCTCCGGGAGATGATGTTGCGTATGACTTTGCTTCCATTGTCGCCAAGCTGTGGACTGGCGCTGGCGTCATGCCCTTGCTCGACAAACGCTCGCGACAAACCATCGATCACCAAATCCGCGGACGCTTCTATCGTCGCTTGCCGCACTTTTTCAGTCGGGCCGGGGTTTCCGTATGCTACATGAGGGTCGGCAAAGCTGAGCAGCGTTTGCGTGTCTCCTTTGGTGACGTAGTCACCGAGATCCTGGATGTCTTGGGTCGAAAAGGATCTTGGATGCATGTTTGATCGCGTCCAGGTCGCTCTCCACGTGCCTGGTTGGAAGGCTTCGTCATGATCGACGAAATTACCAACTTCAGTAATGGTACTAATGAATGAGACTGATGCAGTCATGCAGGGCGTAGCGGCCAGAATGTAGATGTGCGGCTGCAGACCCGGACACAGCTTTAGGATATGCTGTGCGAGAGTCTCACGCGAGACACCTAGCGCTTGCATGAGGAACGTCAGGAAACGAAAGTCGTCTGAATCTCCTCTCCTAGGGTCTTCGTGACATTGGTTGCGAAGCACATCAACGAGCAGCTCGACGGGTGCTTTGTTGTAATCAGGCACAATCCTTTCTCCACGGCCAGTCGATGCAACTCCCAAGAACCCGTACACTCTGTCGTAGACTACAGAGCTCTCCGACGACGCAAACGCTTGCAAGAGATCGCGCAATCGAAATGTTGACTTGAGAGTCTTGCTGTTGCGGCGGCCGAGCATCTCTCTCCGGTATTGCTTCGTGCGTTTGAAGTCTTTTCGGTATTTGAACAGCAAATAGCCGCGACTTGTGTAGATAACGCTTGTTGGGGACGCGACTGGTGCTGACGCAAGCCCATCGCGCCAGATGCTTTCGACTGTCGCGGCACCCACACTGAGGTCGCCACACCATATCTCAACCGACTGTGCCAACACAAACTCTTGAACCACCCACACCCGACTCCAATACGGCTTGTTGAGAACACCCGCCAGAGCATTGTGAAACTCTTCAACTCTGAGGAGGTCAGGATGCCGCGCAAGCATGAAAGCCAACTCTTCATATCCCTGGGGAAGTCCAAGCCACACTATGACAGATTGCGCTCCAGTGTAAACATCGCGCATGAGCGACACTTGATGATTGCGCTCTGGTATGTTGCTTTGATCGATCGCGATAGCATCAATCCACAAGGGAACGGCCTTGCCTGGATCTTTCTCGCAGCACTGCCGAAGGTACTGCTTCTTCCGGTATTGCTGAATGAAGTTCCATAAGCTCTCTCCGACGGCAAACTTTGATCCTTGGATGTCGATATACTTCTTCTCGCCAGCCTTATCCCACATGTAGGACAGGGCGATGAAGGTAGGCTTATCGTCCAGGTCGCAGATGGATAGTGTTGCCTGGATGGGCTCATGTTCAGGTGCCGGCAGTATTTCCAAAAGCCGGACGCTCTTCTTGTTTGGGTCTAGAGACCCATATTGCAGTAAGGGTAACGCTGCCAGTGGGCCATCCTGGTCGGGTGTTGCCGGCGGGCTGGCGGGCGCGGTTGTTGGCGCAGAGGACTTGCGCCGCAGCTTTTGCAGCCGAAAAGGTTCAACAAAGGTCTTCTTGAGTATACTCTGAGTCGTCCGCTCCGGTGCGGCCATGATCTAGTGGACTGCGCAAATGCGACGATGTGGCAACAGAAGCCTTAGCAGGTCTCATCAGTGGTAAGGCTGAGATGCAAGTAGAGAAAGAACGCGGCGCAAGAGAACCTTCCTTGTCCAGGCCATCGTTAAACGTCGCGTGATTCACAGACACTGTCTGAGGACAGAGCTCTCAATAATTACCAGCGAGTAGGCGTTGATGTGGCTTGCAGCACGGTGCCTAGGTGATGGATGTCTTAGGCCAGAAGTTCGTCCGAGAGACCTCGGGATTCTTTGGCGAAGCTGACTAAGCATGCAGAGATGGGTGGTGTGGGGGCCAAAAGCGTTCCCAGCCCCCAGAATTCCTTCCGTCGTCATCGTCTGCGGGAAGCGTACCCAACCGAGCAAACCAATATTTGGGCCCATGCTATGGCTAGTTTGCAAATCGCGCCAGCACGCGATTGCCCATCGCCTGCCGACAACGGCGTCGCATACTCGTAGTCTAGAGGCATATACGACGCGATAGTATCAGCAACGACAGCTTCTGCGGCACAACGACATCATCTTCAGCTATTCTCCATCGATGAAACGATATACCAAATCGAATGGTCTGCCCGCACTCCGTGAGGTCAGACGCCGAGCTACCTGGGTGATGATTAACAAGGTCAATTCCGTTGTTTTGCCATTCGTTATCCTCGTGATCGCTCTTGCGAGACTGAATCGCAATGATGTCTACAAAGAGCTCGCGATAATCGATGATAATGTCGTCAATCGTTTACGGGCGCATGAGTCGGAGGAACAAAGGTGACATGACGGCACGAACACTCGATCACGATAGGGAAGACCTCACGCCGGGTATCTCCTCGATGAGTTGATGCTCACGGTAGTGTTGTTCTTCGCTGGTTGAGATGCATCTCTACTGGTTTGATGCATACCGATACTACAGCCATGTCCAGATCGCTCGGTAATCTCCAAAACCAGGCGAATCACGGCATACATACCCGACACTCAACAGCCTATATATGCTGCACTCATTGTCCTCGACATGTTGTATCTGTCTCATTTCGCAGCCTTGGGGATCCGTCAGCTCTTCACCAATCTCATACCATGCCTTTCCGATTATCATCTATCGACGGTCAAGTCGGATGCATCAGAACGAGCCAAGCACTTAGCGGATATGCTTCAAACGCGGGATAGACATTGACTCCATGTGTTTTAGATTCCTGCAAAGCTGCACTATATCCGGAGCGGAGATGATGTCAATATCTAGAGACCTTGAAGGAGCAGACTTACAGGAGAAAGGTCGTTAAAGACATGCGCGAAAGCCTTCGACGGGTACCGACCCTCAGAAACGTGCTCTTCTCATACCTTCCTTATCGAGAAGATGAAGTGTTCTAGTCTCGTCCTCGGCGTTCTCGCAACACTTGCGGCTGCACAAACACCTTCGCCGTATACTGATGCCAAATCAGGCATCATATTCAACACTCTCCAGCACAGTAGCGGCATGTTCTTCGGTCTCGCGCTTCCAGCCAACGCCACCGGAAACACTGACTTCATCGCAACGATCGGGGGCAAAGGCACGGGCTGGAGCGGTGTTTCTCTCGGAGGAGGAATGCTCAACAAGCTCTTGATCGTCGCTTGGCCAAACGCTCAAACTGTAGTGGGCAGCTTTAGGAAGACTGCGTACGTCCAAGATGAAAAACTACAGCGGCAAAGTGATGCTAACAGCAGCAGCCAATACGCTTCTCCCGCCGTCGCAACCGGCACTTTCACGCAAACCACAATAGCAAACGGCACATACGTCAACAGCACGCACTGGACATACACATTCCTCTGCTCCAAGTGCATTCAAATCGACGGTACGACGTTTAAGCCCACTGATACAGCGCCAAGTCTCGGGTTCGCATTCAATCCGACCGCGCCGGCGCAAAAGACGAATCCCGCTTCTAGTGTATCGAAGCATACGGCGCAGGGGCAAGCGGTATTTGATCTTAGCAAAGCTAAGAGCGCGAACTTCGAGATCTGGAAGGGCTACGCTGTGCCGAAAGTCGCTACGGGTTTTGCGGGCTAGGTAGTGCGACGGCTAAATGGGGTTGAATGCGAAAGGGAGTTGGGGTTGTCAGGTCGGAACTGCGGACGTGGTCTGGGGATTTCGGCACCTTTGAGTGCGTACGTATAATTGTGATTGTTCTCGCAGCTTTTCTTGTTGGGTTATGCATGTCATTTCACTGTTCCCAAGCATGCGGTTCAAGATCTACCGCTTCGTGCCTGATCACCCCTTCCCGTCTTTAGCCTGATTGCAGCGAACGAACTGTGCGGGGATGACCGTGCACACGAAGCACTAGAGTCTAGTTGAAGAATCTCTGGCGCATGCGCTTCTGGAGGGAACTATCAGTTCATAGCTAGTTCGGTCGTGTTGACGATCAGATGCAGGGGACTAGAACAACGATAAGTGACGTAGACGAGAAAGGCGGTCATGTAGCATCACGGTGCAGTAATCTCATAGGAAGTTTGATAGCGTCAAGGAAAGTGTGTGATTTTGTTCTACACGACAGCCTACTTCTACCAGCGAAAGAAACTCCTAAAAGTAGGAAGGCCAAAAGGATTGAGAATATCGAAAGCGTTACGGGCTTTGATCAAATCAGCTCCCTTCTCTGCGACAGCGTACATGGTCGCTTGCAAGTGCGTCGCGGGGATCAACGGGATGATACTCGCGTCCACGATGCTGAGGCCCTTCACACCATGCACAGTGAGGTCGCTACCCACGCACCCGCCTAGAGACTCTGGCATCATTGCGCAGCTACCAGACATGTGTGCAAAGGAAGCCTGGAGAGCCTTTTGCTGAACAAGGTCATTGATAATCTCATCGTCCGTCTGCGCCTGGGTGCCAGGGGTGAGCTCGACTGGAGAGAACTTCTTGAGCTCAGGGTTGGCCCAGTGTTTGCGCGTCCATCGGACCATTCCAGCGATGATCTGGCGATCGACGGGGTTTTGGAGGGCGTTGAACTGGACAACGGGGTTGCCGTATTTGCTGCTTGGGTTGATGGTGACAGTGCCGCGAGAGAGGGGACGTTGCAGCGAGCTGATGGCGAGACCGAAGGGTACCATGGGGAACTCGCCAACAGCGGCGTCGGCGCTACTATGGAGACCAGCGATGATGTCGCGTTGCTTGGTGAAGCCGCGTAGCAGAGAGGAGTCGTCGTATACCGATGGAAGGTAGCTGCGGACATTCTGCGACTTGACAGTCTGCACAATCTGGTTCCAGTTATCGCAAACTGTCTGCAAACTCAGAAAGGCCAGGCTGCTGCCATGGGCTTGCGTGAGGGGACCGCTCCGGCTGGTGTCGTACTCGGACCATACTGTAGCGTTATAGGTGGGGTCTGCGCCGCTGTAGATGTTGGGGAATGCCAGGTTCTTGAGGTCGAAAACCATGTTGGCATTGGGGTGGTCTTGCATGTTGGCGCCGACAGCAGGCATGTTCTTCTTCACGTTGATGCCTGCAGCTTTAAGGACATCGCTCGGCCCAATACCGCTGAGCTGAAGGATCTGTGGTGTGAAGATTGAGCCCGCAGCCATGATGACCTCGCGCTTTGCGTAGACTTGCTTGACCGAGCCATCTGTTCGCGATTTAAATTGGACACCATTGGCTGTGTATCCAGTGAGAAGGCCCTTGTCGAAGAGGACCTCGTTGACAGTCTTTCCGGTGACGAGTACAAGGTTGCTGCGGGTCTTGACAGGGTCGTAGTACTCGTTCTTCGCATGAGATCGTGTCTGGGTCTTGGGTCGCAGAGCTGTAGGTATCCAGAAAGCACCTACTGCCCTCCCCGAAGCATGCTCTCTGGGCAAAGGCACGCCTGATTGCTTGTATGCCGCCCAGATGGTCTTTGTGTCTTCGTACTCGAAGTTTGGGAACGATGCTTGTATCGGACCGTTGGTGCCATAGTACGATGCGTCATACGTGGTGCCAAAGCTCTTGACGTTGTTCGCTGTTGGCGGCGTGAACGTGGTTGACTTTTTGAAGTAGTATAAGAGGCTGTTGAAGTTCCAGCCACTGTTACCAAGTTGCTCCCACGCATTGTAGTCGGCGGCAGATGCTCGGTCAAAGGCCATACCGTTGACTACAGATCCACCACCAACAACGTTACCCACCCAGACAGGATGAGTACCACCTGTATTCGTGTCATATGCAGACGTGATGTCGTACATGAGATTTGCGTTGACACTGTTGGCAAAGCTAGGTACTTGAGTGGTCACATCGTCGACGACATATCCATTTTCGATCACGAGAACAGTACCTGGGGATGTTAGGTCCATATGTCAACGCCGAATGTGGTTACTCACGGCTTGAATCTTCGCTGAGGCGGTTGGCAACTGTCAGGCCTGTCAACCCGCCACCAACGATGATGTAGTCGAACGATTGCCCTCCAACATCTGGCTCGCCGCTGCTGCTACCCGGAGAGGACGGGTCCAACACGCGCGGCACGAAAGACGCAAGGTAGAAAATGCCCCCAAGAAGAAGAGACATATTAGAAATTATGGATAGAAGGAGTGTATGAGCACCAGACGAATGGCGCAAGGGTGAGTGGTGCGTCCAGAGCTAAGATTACGGATCGTCGAAGGTTTATACCAGCACTGTTCCGTTTGTCAGGTAGCTGACGGACGGGCCACCCCTGAGTACGCGAAGCTACTGAAGTGTTTCGCTTGCAGATAAACGAGGTTCAGCATGCCATGGCAGTTCTATACTACCCGCTGGGCGTTGCGTAACGACTTTTTCTCGTGGAGCAACTGGCGCTCAAAGGTACCAGACTCTGCAGTGCTCAATGCAGCATGTTGCCCGGGTTCTTGGATCGATCCTGCGCGGGAACAACGTAGAGATCCGCAAACCTTGCTGAAAAGTATAACCGTAGTCGACTGGAAATGGTAAGCTTAATGATCCTGTCAATCTGCCCGGCTATCGACAAGCCTAGAGCTGCAGTCATCGATATCTGGTAAGTACATCTAACGTGGCGTCAACTATCAGCTCCCGCCGTAACAACCACGTGCATTGTCGTATGACGTGCGCCACGCGAGCTGATGAGGAGATCTTACCCTGGATGGTGCAGCGCTTTGTCCTGCGAACCACATAGTAGTCGATAGTTCAAAGGGCGAGACCGACGGTGTGGTGATGGCGAAGCGGCGGCCCATGGTACAACCGCGGGAATGCAGGGGCCACGGCTGTCATGTCGCAAGAGCCGTACTGGTGAAAATCTCCATCGTCCTCATCCTGCTGTCGCGCTGTTGCGGGTCGTCGTTAGGTCGATTATTATGCTTTGGCGTACGAGTGTTTAGGTTTGCAATCGTCTAGATTATAGGTGGCGGCCGGAGGAGGCTCAATCGGGACTAGTGCGCTCCTATCTGACACTAGCCACACAAAGACACAAACCTGGCGGCATCACTAACTTCACGAGCCCAGCAACCGTCGCTTGTCAATCTTTCCTGCTGCGGGCACCCACGTTGTACTAGAATTATTGCGGTAGCGAAGAGCGAGCAACAAGGCCGGTGCTGTTGCACCCGTTCGGCCCGTTCACTGACTATGACATCGTCACAGAGACTTCGCGTCGGTTGCTCACATTGAAGAGTGCAAGGGGTATTTGATGCGCTCGAACTGATGGACACTAGACATCTTCGCTGTCTGTTTACTCATACTACTTGACAAGGCCGTTTCGAGCCTGATGGCCTGGCGTCTGCGCCCGCCTGAGCTAAACCTTCGTGCAACGGCGCGCATCATAACCTCTTAGCCCATGCCACGACGGCTAACCGAGTGACAGATGTCGTGCTTGCTGGCTCCGGCATAACTCACGATGAACCTAATCTCGGGGCTGTGGGTTAGCAGCGTGCAAGAGTTTGGTTGGGTTTGTTTCCAGAAGACAAATTGGGAGTGGCTGTGGAAGGTCTCCCGACCGTGCGCGTCTGGCTCTTTCAGAGCTTGCGCAAGAAGAGGAGGAGATATGTTTGATCTGCAGAGCCTTGCGGCTCGGCTGCCTCCTTCAAGCTGATCAGTGGAGATCTGGACCACGATGTCCGAGCATGAACGCATCCTGACTAACGACCTGCCACGGTGATGTGCGCTAGTCCTCGGCGCACAGTCGTAGGAATAGGGTTTAACCGCCTCCTGCATGCTTCGTTGCGTCTTACGGGATTGGCTGAGTTTGACATCGGTCGGCCACTCCGCCGTTTATGTCTGGCTATCTGCAGAACGTTAACAGAGCAATTATAACAGCACGTCCACCCGGCCCGTTGCTGCATCAGCCTGCATAGCATTTCAGGTGATCAGCAGAAGCTCATTTCGAGGAGAAGTCTCCGGTCAGCCAATTTCATTGGGCGTCTTTATCTTTCCGTGTCTCATCCTCTTTACATCCTCCCATTCGCAATGGGTGTACCCACAACACCGGAGGGACTTCCTTTGGACGACCGCTCCAATGCGCTCAAGATACCCATCATCACCTTGATCATCTTCAGCTCGATATTCGTTCTACTCCGCCTGGGCATAAACTGGAAGAACAGGAATTACTTCCTACTAACCGACCATCTGCTATGGACGGGACAAGTAAGTGGCGATCAAATAAGAGTTCCAAGCATTTGCTAATCAGCTTCAGGTTATAGCTGTCGCAGGCGCAGCATGCTGTTACAAGATGGCTGAAGTTGGAGGCGGCAGGCACGTCTGGGACCCGATATTGACACCTCAAAACATGGAGACGTACCTCTACATGCTCTGGCTGGGTCAGCTGCTTAACCTATACGGTATGGCTTTGATCAAGCTGAGTGTCTGCGCCTACATCTTCATGCTGGACTTTTCGCGAACCTTCCGGATTATCATATGGCTTTCCGTTGTGATCCATATCGGCGTCAACGTCGTCTTCCCTACCGTCATTCTGTTCGGCGAGTGCACGCCATACACCAAGCATTGGGACGTCTCCGGAATGAAACCTGGGTCTTGCTGGAACGCGAAGCCGCGTGTCATCTCCGGATACTCGGGTGCTGCAGTCAACATAGCGACTGATCTGCTCTACACCATGGCCCCGCTCATCTACATTGCGAGGGTGCAACTTCCCAAGCGAACCATCTGGGGCGTCCGCGCAGTGTTCCTCTGCGGTCTCATGTAGGTAGCCCTCTTGACACCCCGATTTCGTCACTAACACTTTCAAGCACAACCACTATATCCGCACTGAAACTCTACGAGATGAAGTCTTTGAACGAATCGCCAGATCCAACCTACTCGTCCGTCAACCTAAGCGTTTTCGCCATCGCTGAAGTTTTCGTTGGCGCTTTCACAGCCTCGCTGCCGCCGCTACGCAAAACATTCGAGAACGGTCTCCGCAAAGTGCTTCCAACCAGTCTCACAGGAGGATCAGGCAAGGGATCAAGACAGAGCTACGCGCTCCAAGTGTCAGGGCCTCAGGTCAGCGGAAAGTCGTCAAGGCCAAAACACGAGACGGACGACGACAGTGAGCTCGGCATACTGCCAGATGAGGCGAGCCATGAGCGAAAAGGCTCCGAAGGAGCGATCATGAAGACCACGCATGTCAGTGTGACGGCCGACAGCAAGAGCATAGCGTCGCGCGATCATACTGAGTGGGCTTAATCGCTTCTCTATACAGAAGCACATAGTAATGATAATGAATTAATGATCTTCAACCCATCCTGCTACCCAATACCGGGAATGCATTCCCGCACCGTTGCGTGCTCACGGACATGATCCCGCTCCCATGGTCATCATGATCACCGTCAGGGGCTGCAGATCCCTGTCTCACATCTAACCGAGGTCCGACATTGATCAGCAACCTCATCTGCACCACACATCATCTTCATCAACATGTCGAAGCCGTCGAAACCACATCGTCGCGATCTTCAGTTTCGTGGCTTCGCTGAGGGCCTGACGTATCTCAACAGCGACGGCCAAGCACAGTGTCATTATTTCGGCGGCGTCCCGTACGCCCTCCCACCCGTCGGCCCCTTTCGCTTCCAAAAGCCACGGTCCCTCCCACCATGCTACCGCTACGGCACAAAAGCGAACCCAGGACGATACACAGGCGGCTGTGGCCTATGTCCGCAGCCAGGCTCCAACACGGAGACCCTTGACGAGCCCGCCTGGGACGAAGATTGTTTGCAAACCAATATTTGGATTCCAGCTGGACCATCACCAGCGGAAGGTATGTCCCTGACACGCCCCCTCCTCAACCAATTGAAAGCTGACTCGGGGAGGTTGGCCGGTGCTATTCTGGATCCGTAAGTAATCATTTTCCCTCCTTCGCACTCGTAACCTCTTAGTGCTTGGCCATCGCCGTTTCACGGCAGACAGCATTCCCAGCAGATCTTCGGTTGGCGCACATTGGCACGGGACAATAAACTCTGGCACCACGTGGTAGATCCGCACTAACGCGCCCTAGACGGCGGGTTCCTGCAATGGGGTAGCCCGAACGGACTCGACCTCCGCGCGCTACTCAGCGAGTCCCCCATCCAATGCGTCGTCGTCGCTCCAGCGTACCGCCTAAACGTATTCGGGTTTCTCGCATCGCAGGAGCTGATCGACTCGTGTCCTGCTACTGATGGTTTTGGCGTTAACCTTGGCTTCTGGGATCAGCGCATGGCTTTGCAGTGGACGTATGAGAATGTTAGCTATTTTGGCGGGAACGCCGCGAATATTACTGTCGGGGGTTACTCGGCGGGCTCGCACTCGGTGTTCCATCAGCTGTCGTACGATCTCGGTTGCGCGGATGAGAAGGCGGTTGTTAAGAGGGCGTTGATGCTGTCGAATGGGCCGGGCATGCAACCGAAGAGTTTGGGAGAGGCGCAGGACCAGTTTGATGAGCTATTGGGGGCGTTGGCTATCGATTTGGCGAAGTCGCCGGCTGACAAGTTGGCACGACTTCGTGAGTTGAGTCCAAGGGCGATTGTGGAAGCGAGTAACGGGATCAAGCTTCATCAGTTTCGTGCTGTTACTGATGGGGAGTTTGTGCGGCATGGGCTTCTCGAAGAGCTGTCGAATGGTGTCTTCGCCCAGCGTATGAAACGGCGCAACGTCAAGCTCATTATTGGCGAATGCAGCGACGAGCATCATGTCTACGGTCTTTGGCGTCCACCTAGACCGGGCTTCGACAATATGCTGTACCGCCTTGAAGCCGACTACCCTCGCGAGGCATGCAAGGTGTTGATGTCGCACTACTTCCCCAATCGCAAACTGCCGTCGAAGTACTCGAGCTGGCAGGCAGCTTTCGGTCATATCTACGCTGACGTGCAAATCCACGCACTGCGTCGCGGAATGGTAAACGCGTTGGTGAAGCATGGCGCTGGAGATCTCATTCACAGATACCGTATCGAATGGCGTGCGCAGTGTGTTGACAAAGAGTTACCCAAGCACTTTGGTGCTAGCCACGGCTCCGACATGGCGATATGGTTTTGGGGCAATGGTAGCGATCTGACTGAGGAGGAGAAGCAGATCGCGTTGAAGACGTTTCACGAACCGTTGAGCAGGTTCTTGAAGGGCGAAGAGATGAATTGGGGTACGCAGAATGTGATGCAATTGAGGACACTGAAAAGCGATGGGAATGTCGCTATCGAAGAAGACATCCGACTAGAGGAAGGCTTGAGACTGTGGAATGCGCTGAAGACGGCTGGCGCTACTGGCGACCCGAAGGACACCGCGAAGCTCTAGTGGTAGATACTGTTACATTGTGAACGGAAAGCAACCTCTACAATCTTCAAAAAGCGCGGCAAACCTCTTTGTTACCCTATTACCCAATTAGGAAAGTTTAGCACAAGTGTAGATTACGGCGAGGTGTCTTCAGGCGCCTACACGTCGTAAATTGCCTGCTCGACCTTGCCGTCGCTGTCATGAGGTTTACCATGCCCGCCCTGGCAGCTGCTATGCTGATACTCGTTACCCGCGGAACACATTCCGAAAACATAACTTCGCCTCGGCACTCGAGCAACCTCGCATACACGTCACATACTCAACTTTCCGTTTTCTAACCTCTAAGTACCTACGCACTATACTAGCAGTAAAGTGCAAGACCACTAAACCCCGCCAATCCTCTTCCCCTCCACTCCGTCACCATGCCACCACAAACATACGACCACTCCGCCCCCAACATCCACAGCCTCCTCTCCTCGCTCACCCCCCACAACATCCCCCACACCCTCGACCTCTCCACGCGCAACAGCAAATCAAACACCCCCTGGTCCCCCGCACCCCCTTCCCACACACCTCTAATAGTCTTCTTCCCGCAAACCACACTCGAAACATCCATCGTGCTAAAAGCATGCAACGAGCGCCGCATAGCCGTGACACCCTTTTCCGGGGGCACGAGTTTCGGTCAAGCGCTAGGAAACAGTGAAGGAGGGGTATGTGTGAGTTTTGAGCGGATGGATAGGATTGTTGCGGTGCATGAAGACGATATGGATGTTGTTGTGCAACCAGGACTGGGGTGGGTTGAATTGAACGCAAGGTTGGAGGAGAAAGGGTTGTTTTTCCCTGTTGATCCTGCGCCGGGGGCGAGGGTGGGGGGGATGGTACGTCTCCTGTCTCCATTCGTGGCAAAGGAGATAGTCCCGGGGTGTGATACCTATGCTGACAGAAAGCAATCCACCAGATATCAATGTCCTGCTCCGGAACAAACGCCTACGCCTACGGCACCATGGCCTCAAACGTCATCTCCCTAACCCTTGTCCTCGCCTCCGGCTCCATCATAAAAACACATCACAGACCGCGGAAAACATCTGCCGGGTACAATCTCACTCACTTGGTCATTGGGTCTGAAGGTACACTTGCCCTCGTCACGGAAGCTGTGTTGCGTCTTGCGCCTCTACCCCGGAACCTGCATGTCGGTCTAGCTACTTTCAAGACGTTCCAAGAAGGTGTGGATGTGGTTGTTTCGTTGCAGAAACTGGGTCATCGGCTTGAAGCACTGGAGTTGGCGGATGGGCCGCAGATGACGTGTGTTAACGTGTCTGGACTTGCACCTGCACGTAGGTTTGAGGAAGTGCCGACGCTGTTCTTCAAAATCGCCGGACCATCGATGCATATTGTTCAAGACCAGATAGCCGTTATGCAGGAGTTGTGTAAAACACATGGCGCATCTGCCGTTGAGATCACGCATGAGCAAGACGAGATGGATGTTATTTGGGGAGCGAGGAAATGCATGGGCACGGCTCTTCTTGCTATGAAACAACAACCCACTGATCTCTTCTTACACAGCGATTGCGCGGTTCCCATCTCAAATCTATCCCGCCTCGTCGCCGGAACCCAGTCCCTCATTCACCAGGCATCGACTACGAATCAAGCGGACTGGTTCTGCGCCAACGTCGGCCACATCGGGGACGGCAACGTGCACTCCAGCATCGTGTGTCCACAAGAGCACTATGATGCCGCGATGAGTGTGATCATGGACATCGCAAGGTTGGCGCTTAGCTTAGAAGGGACAGTAACCGGCGAGCACGGTGTAGGGATGAAGTTGAGGGATGCGCTGGAGGAGGAGGTAGGGAGCGAGGGTGTGGAGATGATGAGGGGGGTTAAGAGGAGTTTGGATCCGAGGGGCATTTTGAATCCGGGGAAGGTTTTCAGATTAGAGGGAGAGGGGGGCGAGCCTAAACTCTAGGTCTTCAAACTAGGATAACTGATAGTATGGTGTTTAAGACGGGAAATCCATGATGTCCATGATGTGATTGCTGATAACATGCGATGATGGTTCCAAAGAACTCACGGGACACTCTGTAGCGCAGCACGTTCAGTTCTTACAGATCTTATGCACGATAACCATGCCGTCCCTGCGTTCAGTTCTGAGGATGTTCTAATAACACCATTCCCATTGACAGCCTATGCATCTGAAGTTGCATACCTTAGGCCCCCTCTCAAAAGTGTTGCATTTGTCCCGCGTAGGACGTGCTCCAGGCCCATGCCACCTGATCACTCATCCGACCATCCCCTCCCATCCCCCCATCCCCCCCTCCATTCCACCTCTCCCCATCCCAGCCATTCTGCCTAGCCCAGGCCCGCCAATCCGCTATCTCCTCCTCACTCTGATGAACCTCTGGTCCACCACGCAGAAAGTCTACCTAATCTTTCTTTTTACTCCTCAGCGCCTCCTTCCTAAGCCACTCAGCCCAGACACCCAGATCATCCGCTGCATCGAGCACCCTGGCCAGCGTCTTCAATTTGCGATCTAGTTGCTCTGCTTGAAACTGTGTCTGTTCTTCACTAGAAGAAGCTTCGTTGGCGTGGATATTTTGCTCGACGACGACGAGTTCGCCGTTGGGGTGGATGTCGATTGTTACGGCGAGGGGCGCGTTGTATGTTATTGGTGTGGAGACTAGGGTGGAGGTGGAGGAGGAGAGGAGGTTGGAGATGAGGTCTGCTACGTCCGGGGAAGATGTTACGGCTTCGGGGTGGGGGACGTGCAGGGTGAAGCGTGGTGTAGGCGGGTTGTAGCTTAGGGTGACGTCGAGTTGAAGGCGAGGCAGGTCTCCCTGCGCGGACGTCTGCGGTGCAGATGTTGGTGTGGGATGCTGGCCGAGTTTGTGGGTGGGAATTGGCTTTTCGGGTGCGAGGTAAAAGCAGTCTCGTATGAGTGATGTGACATGCGCGTACTGTCTTAGCACGGGTAGCATCTCAACCAGTTGTTTCGGATGGCTGAAGGGAAGGCTTTCTAGCGTGCGGCTGTACTCTAGCTTGGGTATGTAGAGACTCATATCGTGTCGTCTGTCCAAGTCGTTTCCCGATGCGTCTTGCTCTAGTACTAGAACCTTTCGCGAGCTGCGTATCTCGTGGGTGCGGTCGCCGGTTGTATTGGACATGCCTGGATCTACCTCGCCTGGCCTCAGAGCTAGGCCTGCGAACGTTGTCGGTCGGAAGTCGTCGGTGCGAGGCTCAATGCCAACGATCTGGTATAGCTGCATGTGCACAGCGAGCGGCACGACAAGAGGGGGGTTGAACTTGGCGACGAAGCGTACGTTGGGCAGTCGTCCAGCTGCGGAGTCGAGGTTCATGGCATCGTCGGTCTGCTCGGGGGGTTCGAGGTAGGTCGGCTTTGGATCGAGCCAGTCTATCGACGATGCGTTCATCAGCATGTTGTCTAGGGAGACATTTGCATCTGCGTCGGCTGACTTCTCAACAGCGTCGCTGATCCAGTCGTCAGAGATGCGGATGGGCGTGTAGAGGGTGGAGGGCGAAGATTCGCATTCGATGGTCAATGAATACATCTTGTTGCGACTCCAGCGATGGTCTTCCGGGTACGAGGCAGATTCGGTCGGTCCATCTATCTGCGCGCGTCCATCCATCCAGTATTCCAGACTCAGACCCAGACACGATCCGCCGTTGAGCCTGGGTCGTCCGCTCTTCTTGCACAGCACTTCGCGCTCGGCCCTGTATGTCCTGAACCGCTCATCCGGCTTCCTGTTTGCGAGCTCCGTCTTCTTTTCATGCTCAAACAATTTCCGAAGGCTCGTGTAGACTCCCGCAATCGCATTGTAGCAACTGACCCCGCCGTTCTGCGGTGAGCCCAGCTTGTCGAGCGTCAGCAGCTTCTCCAAGCTCTCGGAGAAGCGCTCGAGCGTGACATTCAGCTTGCTCTGGCCGGGCAGAGGCTTCAAGCTGCGCACGAGAATCTCCGAGCCCGTCGCGCCGAAGTTGAGGTCGGCTCTCGATTCGTCCAGCCCGGTCTGGAGATTGACGCTGACAATCTCGTCGTTCTTGAAGGTGACGTCGCACAGGGCCTCGTCTCCGATCAAGAGACTCCAGGTGCCTGCCTCGTCCATGTGCTTCTCGCACGGTATGTCCATCTTCTTGCAAAGGGCCAGCAGTCCCTGCTCGCTGACGCGTCCGGGTTTCTTGCCGATGATGTCTATGATTTCGCGCAGTCTGCGGCTTCGCTCTGCCTCGTCGGCCCGTCCCATGGCACTTGCGCTCATGCCCAAGCTGGACATGCCCAGCCCGCTCATGGTGATGCCCATGCCCACGCCTCCCATTCCCGAGCTCGCGACGTCGTTGAGCATGTTAAGCACCGCGGGCGAGTCGTACGACATCATGTTGATGTTGCCGGAGGGAGGGACGCTGCGTGGGGCGGGCGAGGAGAACGCATTGAGGTGTCGCGAGGGCGTTTCTTTGTCTTTGGGCGTTGGCGTGGCCATGATGGGCGTGGAGAGTGCGCAAGGCACTACGTAGATTAATTATGCAGTTAAGTGAGGGGTGGGTGTTACGATATCATGTTGCGCGCATATTCATGAAGCGAGGAGGAAAGGTGTTGCGCCCAAGGTACGCCCTCGGTTTGCTGGGCCTTGGCGTCCCAAGCAGGGCAGGACGCCCACCCCAACTTTACAAACGCATGCTGCCAGAGTATCGAATATGTTTCCATGTGTAAAGCACGAATATATGCGCGGGGTATCATAACGTGAAGCCTGGCCTAAGCCCAATAACCTGAACGCCATCTCCATCTCCATCTCCAGTGTTCCAACTCAGTCCAACTCCACCACATCGTCGTCCAGAATCTCACTAATCTTGCCCTTCGCCCTAGTCCCCGCAGCCCTCCCTGTCTTCTTCTTGGGCGCAGCCTTCTTGGTCCTAGCTTCTTGCAGCAAGAGCTCGTTGAAGATGTCCTCCACCCCTTCCTCATTGTTGTACTCAATCGCCCTGACCCGTTTCTTGGGCCGCGGCTGCTGCGCTTCTTGTTCGTTGCGCTCCTTCGCCTCGACCTCCCAGCGCTTCCTTATCTCGTCTTCGGTCTTGTTCTCCATGGTGTGGAAGGAGGCGTGGTGGCCACAGCCGTCGCATTCGTATGAGGATGACGACTGGAATGCTGATTAGCTAGTGGAACGGCGGTGTGGAACTGTAAAGACCTACCTTCAGCGGATGCAACATGAAGCGCAAACACGGGCATTTCGCGGCGAGCAGAGACGGCTTGTGATTGCATTGGCCGCGGGGAGGGACATAGTTCATCTGCGTCCATACATTGGGTGCGTTGCCGGCCATCTCGATGAGGCAGTTGTAGATGGAGTAGAGGCGATCAACGATCCGAGTTGATCAAAGCGCGAGGTCGTCCATCGCATAGTGTTCACTGAGTGCACAGGTAGAGGTCGGGCTGCGCGCAAACGCCAAATTGACTCGAATTCACGTGCTTCGACTAGCCGTAACCGCATTGGGAAAACCCCGCTCCGCAAACCGTCTGGCAACGTCATAGCTGTTCAACTGTGGCTTACACACATGCGCAGTGTATTCTTCTCGAATAAATAGTAAAGCAAGGTAAATTATTCTCAGTAAGCACTGGTCTCACGCCACAGCCGTGCGGCATTGTCGGCATTATCGGCTCAAGCAAACATGTCCGCATGGGTGTGAGAGTGTTTGATTTGGAATTGCCCCTCGTCCAAGCAAGGTATCATAACCCGACCAGAACCTATGGCCAGACCTAGAACTGCCAATGACAGCAAGCATGCCCCTCAACCGTAAGCAGCATAAGCGGACGGCTTCCCTCTACCCGTCATGCGTCGGCGGCAGACCCTCGCGGTTGAACCGAATCAGGCCTCGGCGCTAGGCCAGTGGTGGGGAACTTGGATGCGTAGGGCGCTTCTTGTCCAAGTTGACGATCGATACAGCGGGGTAGGAACTCGAGTATAAAGCCCGAGGTGAAGGCAGTCCGACACGACACTTGGCCTTTTAACCTTCACGCCCTAAACATATCCACCAACCAACTTTCCACCCCACCAACTTATCAAGATGCCTGCCGGAGGATGCTTTTGCGGTAACGTCCGTTACGAGGTGCAGGGCGAGAGCGGAGGCAACGTGCGTGATATCTTGATAAGCTCCCTGCCGTCGCTAATGGAGTATCCAGATCCTCTGCCACTGCCTTGACTGCCGCAAGATCACCGGATCCGCCTACTCAACCAACGCCGTCTACTCGGACGAGGGCTTCAAGGTCACCAAGGGTACGCCAAAGGCACACACGGTCAAGGGCGACAGTGGAAACGATGTTACTTCCATGTTCTGGTATGTAATCGCTACGGTATAGCGAGTCCTGTTCTGACCTCGTCCAGCGGCGACTGCGGCTCGACCATGTGGCGCCAGGGCGATACCTTTGCCGGCAAGCGCATCATCAAGGTCGGAACTCTTGACGACACTAAGATCCTCGACAACATGACGATGAACGCCGAGTTGTACACCGACCACAGGCCGAAGTGGGTAGGCTCCCAGGAGAGCGCGGCGCAGAAGGCGGCCATGTAAGGATCGAGCGGTCGACGGTCGAGCGGTTGAGAGCGGGAAAGAGAGGCGGGAATAAGGTTTATAGTGCTACGACTGAGCCATAAGCCAGACGTCTACTCAGAGTCAGAACTCTCTGGTTCCTTCAAGCGTTCTCTCATCATCTGTGACTGTCAGTAGCGGTCATACCACGTGAAATACGATACCTACCTGATTCAAACGGGCCTTGAGCTCATTAATCCTCGTTTCCTTGACCAGAATGTGCTCCTCGTCGAGCTCCTCGATGATGTATTCGTTGTTGTTCTTGCTGTCAATGTCCACCAGCATGGCTTTGATGGAAGCGTCGCACTTGACGAGCGTGCCTGGGAAGTCAGTATCGCAGGGACTGGTGGGAGAGGCGTGACATACCTCTGATAGCTTTGACCATGTTGGAGTGTGGATGCGAGGTTGCGGGGTGATGGTAGGCTAAGTAGAAGACTGGACAACAGGGTGCGAGCGCGCGACTGACGCGATTGCTTGGCGCCATCATTCGCAAGCGCCAGCACGCCATTCCGATGCCTCCGCTGCATCACTTCAGCACTCCCACCTTGCCATGATAAGACCGAACATCCTGGAGCTACGATGACGCTGGTTTATCAACTTCACATGTCTTTATCGTGAGGTAGGCTGCAGACCATTTCAATTCCTTCCCTGTATGAGATGTCACACAAAGGTGGCTCCTTCGCGCCTCCTTCACCAGCTACTTGAAGAGGTAGCAAATGCTGCGAACAATGCAGGCGATACAACCGCGAACAGGCCGTTCTTCACTACTACCTCGCCCATGCCCTAATCACTACCTTCACCCCTCGTACGAGTCTTTCACTGGGGCAACCTTACGAATGCTTCGCTATCTCCACTCGATACCCACACTACACTCACTGTAGTTCAACCAACGCAATGGCTTATCTCAGTCTGCTCGCGGAAACGCCTTCAGCGGCTGGACCAAGCATCCTCCGCCGCGGCAACGACGACGACGCTGAACTCTCCCCAGAAGAACGCAATAACACCAGTTTCTACAAGTACTTTTACCTCCTCCTCGGCATGCTCGCGGGACTCATCCTCGTCGCAGCATGGCTCATCCACCGCCGCAACGTCCGTCATCGGGCGCTCAGACCTCAGAACGGGCAACAAGCATCAGCGAGAGACGTGGAAGCCTGGCCTGGTACACGAAGGTTGATACACGGACGATGCAGGGCCACCAACTCTGTTCTAATTCGCCCAACTGAGGGACTGGACGAGCGTGGAGAAGCGCCGCCGCCCTATCAGCCAAAGTCTGAGGTGAATTCTACGACTATCGCTATACCGCTTCAAACTCTACGAGCAGTCGGGAGCGAGAGATCACTGCCGCCGCAGTATAAAGCGCTGCCATGAAGGTTGTCGAGAATGTTTTCGTTCGACGGATCGAAATGACAAACGACATTGTATGCTCCATGCTCAGAGTTTTGTATCCATCGAGTCGCAGACATGCCTCGTTGAGGTCGGCAACCGAAACCCTCATCCGCCCGACAAGACACTGCATAACCTTTGCAAGACCCCGCAGCGAAGATACAAGGGCAGTCTGTATCTACGACAGCGATGGATAGCACAGGAAACACTTCAACAAAAGACCGGAGACAACACTACCATCCATCACATCCCCCATAGCCTTAATCAGTAATTACAAACACCACAATCAATACAACAATCAATACCAGCCTCCCATTCCTTTTTTCTCCTTTCTCCATGCTCCCCTCACATTTGTCACTGCAAAGTCATCAACTCCAACAACTTACAACAACACCACAAACTCGCCTTACATATGCATGCATGCGTGATGTATAGATATAGCGGCGGAGATCCGTTCGATCAGCTGCATACTGCAAGCCACAGCCACGCAACAGTGGGGCTACGCATCGTTGGCGGACTGGGATCCTTGCTGTTTGCCTTGTATGTTTTCCTTCGCTAATGCACCCGAATTGACGCGTTGAATGCGGATATTCTTGTTCTTTTGTCAACGTGCTGGAGATGGGGAGGTGGGAATGTTGGTGACGTGCAAATGCGAGGGGCTTGGTTGTTGTTAGTATCTCTTGTACGCAAATAGAGAGTGAGGAGATACCGGGGTGGGATTGAAGAGATGCTGAGACTTGACAAACCACGATGCCGCACCTCTTCCGACCGCATACTCAAACCACCCACGAAACCCCCACTCCCGGCCTCTACATCGACGGCCCTCGTCCGAGCCACCTCCCCGTCCCCCGAACACAGACGTCACAAAAATCGTGTTATTCATCACCATGTCAGCTTACCCCACTAGCCCGTTTTCGCGTCTTCCATGCATCGTGCCTTTCCTCTTCGGGGAAAGCGTCATCATGGCGTAGAGGGGTGCGTATGACGCCATAAGTTTTGCGGTGGGCTTTGTAATGGGATGGAGGTGATGATGCGATTTTACACAAATACACCTGTGCCTAACTAGGCGGAATTGGGTATATGTGTGGAGGTTGGCGGTTTCATGCAGGTTGATACACGGGCGGGTACATTTTGCGATGCGATATCCGAGTTCGGGTCCGAGAGGACTTAGGATGGAGATGTTGAGCGGAGAGTGAAAGGTGGTATGGCGTTATCGCGAATGCGTTACTAGGTCAGTATTTGAGTTTTGAGTTGCTTGCTAAACATAGCAGAGAGTTCTGGCGTCGATACCTCCGTTCATCCATGCATCCTTCCATTCACTTACGCTGAGGATGCTTGTGACTACGGCATCGGCTACCGGTTTTCTATCATACACGTCTGCGATCTGTAGATACGTTGGCGCCAACATGGGGGACGTCTAGAACGCGCATGCGTGTATGCACGCCATCTTGACCTTTCCTTTTCCTGTCTTGTTGATATGTGTTGATATGGGGGAAGAGTAAGGTATGTGTAATCAACTTCAATCGTACTCACCGAGAAAGAGGCGAGGAAAAAGAAGGAAGAGGCAAGGTAAGATGTGTTGCTTGGTCAGCTGTAGATGATGAGGAAGGGTGAGAGAGGGAGTGGCGGTGTTTTGTGGTTATGTGCTGATTACGTGGGCAGGATGGGTGAAGGGGAGTTAGGATGAATTGCGTTGGTTGGCCTGGAAGAAGGTATGGGTGTTGGGGTGGGAAGGTGGGAGATTGTATAAGAAGGAGGAGGAGTCTTGAGGGGAAGTGTTAATGTCAAGTTCGACAACGAGTATCAGAAGGATATCGAATACCATCATATCTTCTTTTAGACGCTTCATCACCAATATCAATACCCAATTCTTCTCTACCTAGATATACTTCCCGACCATGTCAACATCCGGCGGTCTTCTCATCAGTAAGTCACACCATTACTTCTCCATCTCCATCTCTATCTTCATCTCTTTCCCCTTCCCCTTCTCATTCCCATTCTCCTTCCCCATCCCCTTTCCATCCCCTTCCAAGCATCCCCAACCCTCTCTAACAAAACCCCCCAGTCTGCTGCACAGAATCCAGTACATCTGCCCTCCTGCACCCATCCCAGCACCTCAACACCACACACGCTACAGTCCTCATCACAAACGGTGCGCGTGTCACCCAGGAAGTTATAAACGGCATTTACTGGGCCGACCAAACGTCGCCGTCGGGGTTGATCATCGTGATGGGGCATGCGGGTACGTTCTTATTCCCTGTG